GATAAATGAGGGAAGAATAAGAACTCTCAATGATCCCAGAGAGTACACATGGAGAGAGCATGGCCAACACTAATCGCGAGTCCTCACTCATCCTTCTAAAACCTCACACTCAATCTCTCATTTTGATGTAAGTCTCTTGTGCTTCGAGCCAAGTCTCTGTGCCCTCTGAGGTTGTGGTCTCTCGATGTAGAGTCATCTGAAGTCTGCGAGCTCTTAACACTTCCAACCAAGTCCCACGACACGAAAGTCAACCATAGCACAAAACTCCTCTGATGGTGTAGGGAGATATGGTTGCGAGAAGATCCCCCGCCTGAGATGCCGGAACTCGGAGGGCTCAGTCACTGCTTCATAGTCAATCACTGCAGGGGAAATGGACCTTTTAGCCAAATCCGCTAGTTCACCCCAATAAGAACCATCAGTGAGAGTAAAAGGAACTAGAGGCTTGGGGTAATCTGTGTAGAGCTTTGGTCCGAAGCTACGGATCAACTTTATTTCGTTCTCATTGAGCTCTTTCTCTTTCTCTTCAAGGTACCTGACCGCTGCGATCCAGGCTGAGTCGAAGTACTCATGGGTTTCCTTGCCCTTTTTTACATAGAGTCTCAAGTCATGGATAGTACCACCTGCGAAACTGGTGAGGACGGCGAAGACTGACATATCTTCTTGTCTGAAACCCTCTGCACTGACAAATTTGTACTGGAAAACATCCTTGGAGGAGATACTGTTGAGGCTGGCTAGGACTGATTCACTGACAGAAAATGGTTGAACCTCACTCATGTAGATTATGATCGTTGCTACGATTCGATGATCTCTTTGATTTACTTAACTGTTACGGTGAAACAACAATGTCAATTACTTCACTGCATGGATTCTAGTAGTACACAGTTCGTCTGATCACGTCTTGGCTCTAGTCCGATTCTTAATGACGAAATGTGATCAGCCTTGGCGTTGTTATATTTATTCTTCATTGTTTGTCGTGTAAAGTTTTGGCGGGTCAATTGAAATTGAGTAGTCAGGGTCATTCACTGTTGGCCATTGAAAATCCCTCTTGCGTAGTCCACAGGCCCAACGGTTGAAAGAGTGGTGTAAATTCTCATCTGACCCATAATAGTAGAAGGTATACTCTATGAGTTTCTGATCTTTCACTAATTCCAGGGCTTGTTCCGTCATGAGTTTTAGGTGGCAATGGATGTCTTGGACGACTGTCTCTTCCCATCCTTCCGCTTTATCCCGATACAGCGTGCAGGTCACCCTTAGCGTGTCCTCACTTCCCATCTCCCTGCAAAGACCCACTGCATTGAGAAAAATTGAACCGTGTTCACGTGTTGATATGGCTGCCGAAACTGGCCCAAATGCTAATGGCCTTTGATATGCACACTGATTGACGAATGTTGGTTCATGAGACAATGAGTAGGGATTAAAGCAGGATGGTCGCCTCTTCTGGCAAGGCACTCACCAATTCACCGCCTTTGCTGAAAAGGACTGGTTGTCCGATCTGTCTGACCAAAGATAATGATTGGGTGAAGATGAGCTCTGGTTGGGAAATACAGATGATGTCTCCGATGTTTAATAACTACTAGGTACTTTAAGATGATTACGAACCACTGTCAACAGGATGCAGAGGTGGGACCTGATTTGCTGATTGATGCTTGTTACCGGTCACGGTGCTCAAATCTTTTACTCTAACCCACCAAGCCGTCTGTAGGGAAGATCCCACGCTATGCAGGTTGACGTTACAATCGCACAAGTAAGATACGTACCTAATACATCTCCTCTCTTCAATTTTACCTATTGCATATTCCCTCATTACCGGCCAGCTAGACCCCTCGTCTTGAACTGCTTCTGCCTCCCAACCCTCTTGCTTGTTTCTGTTGACAACACACTTCGCTACTAAGACTTCCTAGTCTCTCATAACTTCCTTTTTAAACTGAAGATCCCCCTTTTGGCATGAGACAGACATGCACGAGAGGGAGTAAACAGCTACCAAGAGTTTATTGCACAGCGAATCCCAGTCCCATTCAATCAAAGATCACCATGAAATGACACTAAATGATGACCCCTGTCTCGGTATCGAGTTGGGCGACCTAGGAGACCACCCAGTTGATAAAGCACGTGGGGGGTATCGTGTCATGTCATTAGCTCGGGTCTTACACAAGGTAAGACCTGCTGTCCCCAGTCAGAGTACCATGCGACAGGGGTCAGTAAGTCCTAACCAGACAGTCCCTGGTCATTTACTGATAGGAGCATTTCCATACATGAAGCACTGTTTCAGGTGGTATGCAACACTCAACTGATTATAACTGGTTCGGACGTTGGCCTACGTTGTGAGCAAGAGCAACGCCAGACTCCTTTTCACAGTCAGATCGTACGGTAAGCTCACGGTGGATGACTTATAAATACAACCCTCGATTTCAATCAATTGCAGAAAAGGCTCAGTTGTTAGGCCTTGGTTCGATCGTGTCAATCGACAGTCCCCTCCCACGACGCTCGATAGACAATTCCATCGGATAACCATAAATTTGTCGTTAAGTTGTCTTTTCAGGCTTCTAGCCTCTGAGAAGACCCGCTGTACATGGTCCGTTGAATCTATAGTTTGCCATCTGTCGTTCTGGATGCTCATGGGAGGAGGGACACTTTCTTAGAGCAAGATTGGCAGAAGCCCCTTTTTACTATCTCCGACATATTCAGTCTGAAGTCCACAATAAGCTTACGACTCATCATGACCCGTGTTGTGTGACTGTCAGCAGTCAATTGTATCCCCATGTTGTAGGGTAGCTCTTACTCAGTCACTCCTCGAAGTGTTGCTCGGCATCAGGCTCTGCTCAGAGCGTTCTTTGTCTGGGCACTTTCACAATATGTCGCTTATCAAAATACTGAGTTCCGCTTGTCAAGGCAAGTCAAGACGCAGAACTAGGCTCAGACTGAAGGAGATGGCGCTGGGTTCGGAGCAAGTTTAGACGCCGTAAGCACAGGGAAAGTTCATACTCAATGTCAATTTTGTGAATACAACCCTTACATGTACTCAATCAAAACGTTTTGAGCTCCGGTGCAACTCGTGACAGCCTTCGTTCAAACCACATAGAGTTGTTGGCAGCAACTGGCATTCAGATATAACACAGGGTATTATGCGGTAGTTCATATTCATCTTCTGTGAGTGGTCCCTCGATAATATGGAGAGCTCATGAGAGGTTCGCACACAAACAATAAATCCTCACCATTGAGTCACCCCTAAGCATTATGCCATTCAGGAAAAGGTGTAAAAGGAAAAGGATAATTATACCCTCTTTAATTAAGTTAATTTGCACTTTCCCTTTTTGCTCGTAACAATAGCGGTCAAAACACCAACTTGGCTTAGGTAGAGCGGAGCCCACTAGTCCCCATTAAAACAAAAGTTTAGCTAACAGATATGCAATTTTCCGCAAAACTGCCTTCCCCTTGCCCATTCACGCCGGATATGAGAGGTAATATTACTCTCACTCAAAGTTGACTTTGAAATCACATCCCTTTAGTACCTGGGCGTGAAGAATATCGCAGCGCCAGGGCTTAACAGGTGACCTCGCACTCAGAGTTCAGCGTCAGATCAACCGAGTCCTGATTAGTATGACTACCTGTTTCCACTTCATTGGTATGATAACTAGAGAAGAATAGACAAGAAGGTTTGGGGACATTTAGAGGGTCTCGTGAGGGAGAGCAAAGTAGTCGAGATCTTATCTCCGATCATTATCTCATTTAAAGCATGCCAGAGTCCCGCCACAGTCGTTTTCCTTTGTGCCAACGGAAAGATCGACCGCTTAATTAATCTGCTACCCCCGCTTTAACTATCACCCTCTCGAGTCCCGCTACGCCTGGTCGACGTCTTCCATACAAGTTTGTCTCAATCCAGTCTGCTGATCGCGCACAGGGGGTGATGACGTTAACAGCCACTAGCGCACGGTCTCGCAAGTGTACTCCCCAAGAAGACTGACTCTCTACTCCTACACGTGTCACTACGTGTCATTGGCTCTTTACACGGTCGCCTGCTCATTCCCGCTTTACTAGAAACAAAGATCAGACCATGGAGTGAAAAGCAGTGCAGATTAAGAAGAAAACTCGGGTGACGTCAACACTGCCGTGAGTACTCCTTTCTCAAGACCTCACACTCGTCTGAGTTCTCATCGGTAAGTGCACCATGGATCCTCTCCGGTATAACCTCACTCACTGTGAGTGACATCAGCAAAGTAGGGAGTGTTCGTGTTCCCACAGGAGTTGCACACTTATTAATCTCCGAAGAACAATCTCACACTCCCTTTCGCTCCGTAGTAGCCCTGCTTCTCCCTCTTCTTTTGTACCGCTCGTGCCCCACATCTATGCCCTCTTTTCACAGTCAGTAGCCATTCCACTCAGCTCGGCGATCACGATCACCGTGCAGCGATCAGACTCAGATGACATTTAACTGTCGAGTCTCACTCCTTGAGGAGTTCACCTAGTAATCTCAATTTTTCGCGACGTAGATGACGTCAATGGTAATCAATATCCAAGCATCACTTCACATAGATCTGACTCAGCATATCTCACATACACTGACAACTCCATACCTCAGCCCTCTCTTTATTCTTGTATTGGCCCCCGTTCTTGCAAATAGGCAGCCTTAGCAAGAACGACACATAGTAACTGGTGAGAATGTGATGATCGTGATGACACCCTCGGATCATGTCTTCATGTTACCATATGTCACTGCTTCGTGGCTTCAAGGCACCCAGTGACCCACCATCTGCAGGGCATTCACGCGCACCCAGTGTCGTGATCGTAAGACATATGCCCCTCCCGCCGGTTTCACACACGCGCCCTCAAAACCTTTTTTGACCTCTCTCTCCGAGCGCCACTACCTCGCAAGCACGCTACGGTACCCTCCACCTTCTCTCTCTCTCTCTCTCTCTCTCTCTCTCTCTCTCTCTCGGCTCGTAACTGCCTTGCGGTCTGCAATCTCTTTTTTGGGTCGAGCTGGCCTTTGGGCCGTCCTCTACCGACTCAGTTTGTGGGTCACTCCTCCACTGTTCCAATCCATGCCAGGATTGGGTCAGGGCGTCGCTCGCTTCGGACTCCACCTCCGAGTCTCGGTCCAGTTCCTGCTGCTCCCTCTCCGTTGTGCTCGTGGAAGTTTCTTCCTCATCATAAGTAACGGTGACTCGCAATGCCGCAGTCACTCCATCTCGTTTGCATCTCCGTTCGGCTCTGTTACGAGCCTTGGTGACCACCCCCTGAACTTTTCCATCTTCCCTCATTTCCTGCTCCTTTCCCCCATAGACGTTGATATTGAACCTTGCCTGCACGTCACTTTTACTATAGCTCAGGCAGGCATCCACTGTAGCCCCCTCTTCTCGCATAGGCTCCCAGCTCCAGTAGAAACTCAAGTGCCCTGGCCTATAGCCAAGAAGGCCATTGCTATGTGCCATAGCCGCTCCTCTATTAAAAAAAATTGTGTTTAGTGTTAGGCTACCGACTCTAGAATAGCCAAAACCGAGTACATGGTGCATGCGCATGCAGACGAAATCACGTGCTCACTTCGCCGCCCGGCCCTCTCTTTTCGGCTCACCCGTACTCAGCGCAACGAGACTGCCTGTACCCGAGTCGCCAATAACACAACTCCCCTCTCTTTTATAAGACCTCTACCTACCACGATCCCCGTGTCCTGAAAGAAGGATTTAATTCGGCCAACATTTAAATTCTGAACATTAAACCACTAGTACCTTTGCCGCGTGGGAAAACAACGGGCCTCGGGTGGGCCTCCGACCTTTTCGGATGGCCGAAACGAAATGACTGCCGCCGATCAAATTTATGAATGGCAGCCGTCGTCAGGCCCGGCCTCAGAATTTTGAGGCGTTTAAACCACCAATACCTCCGAGCCTGTTTTTGCCGACCCTGATTTTCACTGCGCACCGAGTCGGGCCGAGCCGGACCAGTTTCATCTAAGAAAGAACAAGGGGAAAAAAAAGAAAAAGAAAAAGAAAAAAAAGAGACTTCCCGAACGCCTTGATAACCTCCAGATACATTCTATGAGGTGCTTGTGTGACTGTGCCCTTAGTGAGGGCGTGGATGGGAAAAAATAGAGAAGCAACGAGAAAACAAAAAGGAATCCCTTATCCTGTGATTGAGGACGGATACATGATGCTACAACAGTGAGACAATTACGTGCCACCCATGAAACACGCCCTGCCTGGCTGGCAGGGCACTACAAGGAAATCAAAACAAAAACAGAAAGGAAAACAAACTGCAATCCCTTTTCCGACATAGTGGCCAGACGCATTTGTCAAAGCACTGGTATAACTTTCACCCTTGTGAGGGTCTTCCCCGCCATCCCTGGAGTGTGAGCGCTTCGTTTTCTTTGTTTTTTTTTTCTGTTTTTTCTCTTTTTTTTTTCCGTCGGCCTCCAACCCTGCCCCGAGCCCCGTGTTTTCAGGAGGAGTAGGCTACTATATGGACTTTGCATTTGCCTGTGAAAGGTAGTGGTGGCTTAAGAAAACTGCTAGTTTTCCCTAATTTCCCAACACTGGGCGAGGTACTAGTGGTTTAATAATTAGATCTTAGAAAAAGGGTAAAGGATAAAACAAAATTTAAAAGGAGAAAGAAGATAAAGGACCACACCCCAACGGTCATATTATGAGCATAACTCTCTGTCGTCCATCACAACCCCTTCATTTCTGAGTGGCATATTTGCTAGTGCAGCAGTCCCATAACGGAATACCGCCCGACACTTCAAATGGGTACCCGTATCCTATGGTAAGGAGGGGGCCTATGACCCCCTCCCCCCCCCCTGGGGGTGATAGGCTTCCTGCCGAAGCGGTCGCGGGTTACCCCTCTTTTGGGGTCCCACCGCGCGGCGCTCAGTTGAACAGGTCAGACACGGGGTAATAAGCGAAGGGTCGGGCCAGTCGAGACCACCTGGTTGCTATCGGAGTTCAAAAATGAAACGTCTGCCCTCCTTCCAGCGAAGTGACAAAAAGGGAGATAAAAAAAAAAAGGAAAGATACGTACCGCCACTAAATCTTTCCGGTTAACAAAAGTCATAATTCGATAAATACATTTTTAGTCTCTCCTTTCCTTCTTTTTATTTTCGTTTCTGGAGCCTTACCCCCTTTTCTTTTAATAGCGACCATCGCTATCCCACTTTTGCACTTAGCCCAGATGATGACCATCGAGGCCCAACGCGCGGCTGACCGTGCTACCCCCTTTCTATCACGCTAGGCAAACCTGACGGTCACTTCAGTTACGGGGCGGCACTCTTGTAAGGCAGGGTACCAAACCTACGCGGTACCACTGGAAAGCCTAGTATCTGAGCCTGTCAGTACCTCATGACCCTGCACAGTGGTGCCGAGCTTACGGCGGTAAGTGAATGGATGGATTGATACGCAGCGATAAGTAAGTGGATGGACTGGTACGCAGCGATAAGTAAGAGGATGGACTGGTACACAGCGGTAAGTGAGCGGATGGACTGGTACGCAGCGGTAAGTGAGCAGATGGACTGGTACGCAGCGGAGGGCCGAGACACCGTGCCCTCCGATAGCGTGCCAAGCGTGGTTGGACAACCTTTTGTCCAAGTACGGGGTGGTGGCCGCCAACTTGTACACCAAGATCAACTGGGATGATCTAAAGGCGTCGTGGCATAAGCGGTTCCAAGTAGAGCCACCGGAGATCAAGGCAATGGATAAATTGATGACCTTCGAACAAGGCACGCTGCCGTGTACTGACTGGATTACTGAGTACCAACGCTTGGCATCCGTCCCAGACATTCAGATGGGCTTCAAGGCCATTAAACACTACTTCATCACGAGGTCGTGTCCGATGTTAGGCAATGCCTTAACTCACGTCGAGGAGACCTTGACGACAACGGCGCAGCTCTTCGACAAGGCCGCGTAGATCATTGTCACGAACAAGGAGGCCAAGAACATCAACCGTTCGTCTGCAACAGGCCCGAGCAGAGATCAACATCGGTCGAAAGTGGTCGTGGTCGAGGCGGCAACGCCAACCGACCCTTCAAGCGAGGGCGTGTCTACCAATAAGGGGACAGACTCGCAGCCGCCCGGGATGGTGGCCGCCCCGGCAAAGAGCGAGGACGTGTCAAGACGAAGACAAACACCACATCGATCACCAGGCCCGGCGCAGCAGCTTAAGCCCCATGGGCCGACTACAATCTGTCGGAATGTGCGTACAAGCTACGCACAAGATTCCACTATTGTCTGTGGTGCAACAATGATTGCCACAACACAGTGGGCTGCCCTTTGAAAAGCAAGCTCGATGCCTTCAGAACCGGTTGCTACGCGTGCGAGCACCCTTCGTTCTGAGGCGCATGTGGAAGTCGATAGTCCTCTTCTTCTATATTCTTACGAGGACTATGCTGCCCGACTCGTTCCTACGCTGGGTACTCATGCTCAAGGACAAGACATGTGTGCGGCATCTTCTCCGTCCGGCAACGACAACTTATCGTCTTCAAGTGGTTCTTCACGGGATTCGGCGCGCGAGTTCAACATAGAGGTCTTGGACCCGCTCATGTCGGAGGATTTCGCATGGCTTCCTCTCCCGACCACGGACCGCTTGTCGGGACCGCAATGCACAACACTATGCGCTCATCTTAACACGTATCTATCCTTCTATGCACCACCAACTTCGCCGACGGATGACGAAGCTGCGGTGGGGGATATCCTTGCGTATGTTACCAAGGTGGCCCACGAGTTTCGCAAGCAGTGGTACGGTGACAACAACACACCGCTCCTCTATGTTCGCATCCAAGTTGGGCAAGCGTCCTGCAGCGCTTTGTTGGATATCAGCGCGACTCGCAATTTCATGAGCCAAGCCTTTATGCAAAGGGCTGGCCTTGGCGCACAAGTTCAGAGGAAGGCAAACCTGACGGCGATCAAGTTGGCGGGCGGAAGGACGCACTTATCGACCGTTACATCGAGGCCGTACCGGTGTATTTCGCACCTCATGCATGCAAACCGGTGACGTTCGACATTTTGGACATAGACTTCGACATTATTTTGGGAATGCCTTGGCTTGCAAGTGCGGATCACATGGTCAACTTCCACCGACAAACTCTTACCATTTGGGACGCCTTCAGCGCCGAAGTACCGTGTACTATTCCTCTTCCGCACCCTTCGATCCGGTGCCAAGTGGTGACGGCCAAGTCATTCTGGGCTACTTGTGCTTACGAGCAGCCCGACGAAATCGGCCTATGTTTCCTACAGACCGTCGCGGTAGCCGACTCTTCACCCACGGACTTGTCTTCGGACCCCCGTGTCGTGCGGTTGCTTGACGAGTTCGCCGACATCTTTGAGTCTCCTACAGGTGTGGTGTCGGATCGGCCGATCATTCTCGAGGCCGGTGTCGTGCCGCCGAAAGGTTGCATTTATCGCGTGAGCGAGGAGGAGCTTACGGTCCTCCGCGCACAACTCGATGACCTGTTGGACAAGGGCTGGATCCGCCCTAGTAGCTCCCCATATGGAGCGCCATTTCTCTTCGTAAGGAAGAAGAACAAGGATCTACGATTATGCACCGATTACCGCAAACTCAACAAGCAAACCGTCAAGAATGCGGGCCCTCTTCCTCGTATTGACGATCTGCTCGAGCGATTGGGCGGCACAAAGTATTTTTCCAAGTTGGACTTGAAGTAGGGCTATCATCAGATTTCGATACGCTCGAACGATCGCTATAAAACCACGTTCAAAACGTGGTACGGGCATTTCTAATGGGTGGTCATGCCTTTTGGCCTCATCAATGCCCCAACGACCTTCCAAGCGGCAATGACCAACAAGTTCCGTACAATGTTGGACTGGTTCGTGCCTGTCTACTTAGACGATATCCTCGTCTATATCCGGACATTGGAGGATCATCTTCAGCACCTTCGACAAGTGTTAGAGATGCTCCGCCGCGCCAAGTACAAAGCCGACCCTGACAAGTGCGAATTTGTCCGACAAGAGCTGGAATACTTGGGTCATTTTGTCACACTGGAGGGCATCAGTCCGTTGTCGGACAAGATTCAAGCCATCCAGGAGTGGTCGGAGCCGCGGAATGTCACGGATGTCCATTCGTTCCTTAGCCTGGTCGGCTACTACCAAGGTTTCATCAAGGGATACTCGAAGATCGCGGCCCATTTGACCAAGCTTCAATGCGAGGACCGGCCGTTTGACTTCGGTGAGGATGCGCATGAATCATTTTTGGCTCTCAAAGCTGCATTATTATCCGCGGAGGTCTTGCGCATTTACGACCCGCTATTGCCAACGCGCGTCACTAAGGATGCGTCCGGCTATGGCATTGGTGTAGTCCTCGAACAACATGATGGTGTGGACTGGCACCCGGTCAAGTACTTCAGCAAGAAAGTGCCCACCGTACACTCAATTGGTGACGCACGCAAGAAGGAGCTCCTAGCCTTCGTCCACGCGCTCAAGCGGTGGCAGCACTCCCTCCTTGGTCGAAGCCAATTCCGATGGGTAACGGACAACAATCCGTTGATCTTCCACAAAACCCAAGACACCGTCAACAGCACCATCGCCCGATGGACGGCTTTCATCGACCAGTTCGACTTCTTTCCCGATCACATTCCGGGGAAGTCGAACCATTTTACGGATGCTCTTTCATGGCGTCCGGATCATTGTACCGCAGTCTATTCGACCTTCAAGATCGGTGACAACCTGCGGGACAGCTTCATCCGCGACTACAAAGTCGACCCCGAGTTTCGTGACAAGTGCGAGAATTGCTCCTTCCCTAATCCGGCCCCTTCGCACTACCGGACCCAAGAGGGGTACTTGCTTGTCCACACGTGGGGGAAGGACCTTCTTTGCGTGTCGAGTGACTCTCACTTGCGTATGCGGCTTCTTGGCAAGTCCCACGACGCTCCCGCCACCGGACATTTTGGAGTCAATCGCACGATTGGCCGACTCCGCGAGCGCTTTTGGTGGTCCGGTCTTCTCGACGACGTCACATGCTATTGCGAGTCATGCGAGGTTTGCCGACGTTGGAAATCCCGCAATCACCGTCCGTACGGCGAGTTGCGACCATTATCGGTCCCCTTGCGCCGAAGGGAAGCGATTGCCATGGACATCACCGGGCCATTCCCCAAGCACAAGACTGGCGTGGATGGGATTCTCACGGTGGTCGACCGACTCACCAAGTTCGCCATGTTCTTGCCTTGTCATTATCATGCCAAGGCACTAGAGTTGGCCGAGGTTCTTTACGCTGGTTGGATTCGAACCAAGGGTTACCCCAAGGAAATCGTCTGCGACCGCGACACTCGGTTCATGTCCGATTTGTGGTTGGCGCTCATCAAACGATGAGGCTCATCTCTCAAGCCGAGTTTGGCTCGCCACCCCCAAAGCGATGGCCAAACGGAGAGGGCGCATCAAACCGCACAGGTTCTCCTTCGCACTCCCATCCGTCCCGACCAAAAGGATTGGGTTGAGTGGCTGTCGGATGTCGAGTTGGCATACAACTCGTCCATCCACCCAACTATCGGGATGTCGCCCTTCGAGTTCAAGCACGGCTCGTCGGTCACTTCTCCGCTGGATACAATCATTCCATGAGCGGCCGAGAGCGACGACCATCTTCTCTTCTTGCGTCGGATGCAAGAGCGACTTGTCAAGGCACGCGACCTGATGGCCAAGACGCAGCGACGCATGAGCCAACAGGCCAATCGCCAGCGTCTTCGTTGTCCATTCCGCGCCAACGATCTCATTTGGGTTTCCGCCGCGGAGTTCAGCCTCGAATAGGATATCTCTCGCAAGCTCCTCCCGAAATGGATGGGGCCCTAGCCGATCGTGGCACCAGCTGGGGATGCACCTGAAGGACCTTTCTTCATCATTCAGGTGCCCACCCACTTGCTCGTCTACCCGGTTTTTCATTGCTCCAAGTTGGCTCTTTACACGCTAGCGGAACATGACGACTTTCCTGGGCAATGATCGCAAGACCCACCCTCTATGGACGGTTTTCAAGACGTCGGCGACATCATCTCCCAGCGACGCTACGGCAACAGCCCGACCAAATACTTGGTACACTTTGCGTACTACACCCACAAAGTTGACCGTTGGTTGACCCGTGCGGAACTCCAAGCAACAGCTCCAGATGTTCTCGCACGCTACGAACACAAGATGCAAGGCAAGCCAGTATCTTTGGCTCCACTTCGCACCCGCATCCAGATTCCACCTTCAGATCGTTAGCTCCGCCCTCGACCCGGCTTGACTTCATAAGGAGGGGGGGATGTTACATGCTGCGCCTGCACACGGGGCCCATTTGAGGGGCCTGACGGCTGCTGAGGGGCCCCCAGGCCGCGTGCCATACAACACGCAGCCTGGAGGCCCACGGCGGCCCTTCAGGCCGTAGGTCGCACACTAGTAGATAGGGTTATTTTTACTTACCCCCTGTGTGTGTGTGCTGTCGTATTTTTGTCTGTTCAGGTGCCGTTTCAAACATGCAGACCCAAGGCCGGACCTTGGGACTGGGTGCACCGAAGGCAGGACCGAAACGAGGCCAGGCGCAGTTTGGCGGCAGACCGTTTCGGACCCGCAGGCCCCAAGGCGACGCCTTGGGCTAGGTACACAGGGACGGGGCCGTTTTCAGGCCAGGCGCATTTTCACGCCTGATGCAGCACGGTCTGGATGCCCGGTAGGGGCCCAAACCCGGTAGGCCGTTTTGAGGCCACCACCAGGGAAGCCCAGCGGCGCCCAGTGTTACAAATAGTTGGGCAGCAGCTGGGCCAGACAGTTTGGAAGCTCACTTCTTGAGCGACACGCTGCTGGTTGGAGGTTGCGCTACTTGGCGCAGTGCTGCTGAGCTAGGGAGGAGAGGCGCATGAGGTAGAGAGAGGGAGCGACGACTTACCTACAGTGGCGAGCTTACCTGGCACCATAGCTAGGGCTCTGCGCGGTACCTGCAGAGGACAAACCACAGTTAGTACGGCAGTTACCGGTAGGTAAGACAACAAGGAGGACAACATCTTCCTCTTCCTCCTCGTCCTCCCATCTCTTCTCTCTCTCTTTCTCCTCCCTCCTTCCTTCTTCTTCTTCATCTCCTTCTTCTTCTTCTTCTTCAAATACGAGAGTGAAAGAGGTTATAGGCGGAGGATACAAGCAGAGGTTACAGTGGGCACTGCGCCCATGACCTGATTCGACATTTATGAGGCATGCATTGATTTAACATCGACAAGGGACTATTTTTGGACTTCGCTATTGCGATCTGGGTTTCCTCCCTCGCCTCCAGCTTCGTCTCTCCATTTCCCCATCTCTCATCTGTGGTACCTTCCCATGTGCGTGTACAAGTAGGGACATTTCTTCTTAGTGTGCGGTCCCTCCTCCTCCTCTCACATGTGTGATGTATGATGGGATGTCATGTTAGTCCCGGTCAGGTCAGGACTTATCTTAAAGTCTTCCGCTATGCTACTATGTGCCATTTTGTATGTATCAGGGTGTACATTGCTTGTTGAGATCCAACTGACATTACATTGTCCATTCAGTCCTTTTCATCACATTCTAGATCCTTGGCTCTATATATATTGCCCAACTGGGCATGTATCAGGGGCGAGACTGGGGGGCTGGCGACGCACGGCCCGCAGTTCACGAAGCAGTGACGGGTCTGTCCCGTTCTCGGGCCTGCACTTGGCCAAGGCCTGACGGTCGCAGCCGGCTGAGGTGGCAATGCATGATGTGCCACCTGTTATTATCACGGATTTGGGGTCCAAGCCGCTGGTTGAGCCTCCATGTCCACGGCGACCGACTCCGCAGGAGGTCGATCGTCCATTGGATGCAGAGGAGTTGGCAGCGGCCGCTGTGCGTGATGTGATTCGACTGGATCACCAGATATTTAACCCGAAACTCAAGCATCCCCAATGGCAGACGATCCCTTCGGTTCCATGGTGTATTGCATCGCCGGTGTGGTCCGGGTGTACCTCCAGCGGAGGACATAGCAGGGCAGATGTTCCAGGGGTTTCAAGGGGCCTACAGAAGGGAGCGCCACGTGCACGAGACATGCCACCCTCGCCTCCTAAACCACGTGTGGGTGATCCATCGTCGTCGCCCACAGGTCGAGGCTCTCGATCCCCACACACGCCCAGGAGATCGAGGATTCGTGACACGACAACGGTTGAGCTGGATGTGTGCGATACGATGTTATTCAGAAGGACGGACATAGATTTGGATTATGCCCCCCCCCCCCCCCGTGTCACTGAGCTCACTGCACGCCTTCAGCCAGTTTGGGAACTCGAGGCGCCAGGACGACCGGAGCGAGGGAGGTTGCAGCAGCAGGTTGCGAGCCTCAACGAGGTCGTGGCGGGGGATTGTCCACCTCGACCTTGGACCACGCTTTGAGAGCAGCGACGCGTGCTGTGCATGAGCAGACATCACGCAAGCGTGGAGTGCCTCGTCCACGCCCCGTGCCTGCAAAGGGAGGCGCTGCACTTGGAGAGTCTACGGGGGCGGAGGGGTTGGGGATGCCTTGTGGATCCCGCCGTCAAGACACAGTCGCACAAGCTAGTACGAGGGTTGTTCTGGTGAGGAAGGGAGGTGGCTCTGTCACCATCGAGGAGGATGATCCTGAGACGGCACCGCCAGTGCAGGAGGAGGATGAGGACTATGAGGGTGAGGAGGAGAGTGAGGAGGAGGAGAGCGAGAGCGGCGATAGTGGTGACGACGACGACGACGATGATGAGGCCCCACCTCCCCCACCGATGCGTGCATCGAGACGCTCCGCTGTGCAGACGTCTTCATCCGCACAAGGGAAGAGGAGGCCGACATCCAGCACTCAAGAGGGTACGAGGAGGCAGAGCGGGAAGGGGAAGAGGGGTCAGTGGCCGTGAGGCCAACACTCCGTTTTCCCCTACTTGCACGCGACTTTATCATATTCTATGCTCCTGGTTTTTGGTCATGCTGTTTTATCTAGTATTGTCAGGTAGTCATTGGTAGTGTGTGTGTTGTAGTTGTTGTTGTTTTCTTCATTTGTTGTGTGTTTGATTCTGGTATGAGTAGGGCGTCTGTAAAGTAGCGTTGGTTGTAGTAGAGTATCTCGCCACCGTCGACACAACTTGTACAGTACTGTTTTTCTATTTTTTAGTATGTGGCAGTGTGGCACTAGTGGCGTAGTAGTAGGATACATTGTATCATGTTACATTTTTCATGTGTGATTTCAGTGTCTGGTACTTCGCGGCTTTTCAGGTCCATTACATTTTCCATTTATGATTTCAGTTACGAGTGCTGCACGTTGTGTGCACGACGTTTCATGTCCATTTTTGTCAGCATGTGATTCGGTGTGAATTTATATCTTCAATTGGAGTTTACATGTTTAATTTCATTTATTTCATTTGTTCTTTTTTTTTTGCCCGCAGAGTCGGGTGATCGTTTTCTATTTGTTTCTTTGCAAATTGTTGAATTAATACATATATTGATTGAAATACTAACTTGGTCGGTACACAGCAGTGAGGGTGGGGGGGCATTGGGGGTTTTCTTTTGGGGGGGGGGGAGGCCGGGGGCTTGTTTTGCTCGCAAGGGCTTCATCAAAGGCTTATGGGTGGGGCCACAGGGGGATTTTGGGGAGCGGTGGAATTTTTTATTTTTTATTTTTGCCGGTGAGTATTCGGGCGCGTAGGGCCACGTGTCTAAGGCCCACCGCGCCCATTCCGTTTTTCGAAATTCAACGAGACACCCCCGTTTTCACGTTAAACGGGATTCAACGGGGGCCCAGGGCCCGTTAAACGGGTTCAACGACGTTGAATTCCGCCCGTTCTCCGTTCATCGGACACACAGGAGAGAAGACCAAGAAAGAGAGAAGAGGGAGGAGCAGTGAGAGAGTCGCATACTTGGATGATGATACTGGATACTGGCTATTTTGCGTTGCGCTTTTGAGCGCTTGTGCATGAAACTCTTAATTGCTCATATGATAATTGTTGGAATTTTTAAGTTGCGCTTACCTGGTCTTCAACTCTTTGGCCTTCAGTGTGGATTTCATGTGATCTCATATTGTGTGTGTTACCTGGTCTTCAACTCTTTGGCCTTCAGTGTGGATTTCATGTGATCTCATATTGTGTGTGTGTGTGCTCAAGGTGACAAACTGAGAGGTTCATTGCAAATTGGTATCAGAGCAGGAAGCTCGCTGCATCCACTTGAGGTGCACTGGCAATGATTAAGGCCGGCGAGGAGAGAGTGAGTGGTAGAAGTCTGGCGTAGGGGAGTCGACCGAAGAAGAAGTGGCCGAAGTTGGGGATGGTGGTTACGTACTTGCTTTCTGGAGCGTTGGAGCGAATCGTGGAGCTTCATCGACGGAACGTTCACTGAGTGAAGTGCATCGATGCCCGCTAGGGCCTGTATTGTTTGCTGATTGCTGAATGATTGTTACCTTCCACATGTTGGTGTCGCTGCTGCTGGTCTGGTCGAAGTATTGTGATATATTCAATTTGCTTTGAGTCAAGCAACCAGTCAACATTCTGAAAAAAAAAAAAAAAAAAGACTACGTCTTGAGAGCGGGACTAAGTCTACCTGGTGAGGAGGTGGAGGCTACCTACCTGTGCTTCTTATCATCATCGATGACTATCCCATGTTCGCATTTCTGACCCTGTCCGTTCTGTGGGGCCCGCTTCTTCGTTTTATCTTCCCTCTCGGATTCTACCGGATATGTTCCACGAGCGTTGCATGGGAAGGCCACACAGCCGTACAAGCCAGAAGAACAAGCAGAAAGACATCGTAGACTGACTGAGAAAAGAAGGGAGGAGGAGAAGAAAAGAAAGGAGGAGGAGGAAATGGAAAGATTGAAAGCAGAGAAAGAAAAGATGGAAAAAGAGATGAGAGAAAAGGAGGAAAAATTAAAGAAAGAGATGGAAGAAGAAGAAGAAGAAGAAGAAGAAGAAGAAGTACATGGTGAGGGGTTGTTGAGAAAAAGAACCTAGCAGACAGAGGAGGTGGTTGAGAGTAGCCAAGTTGGGGCAATAAGGATCAGACAGATTTAAGCGTTGGATTGGAGGGGCAAGTATGGGTACCGGACTAAGTTGCCGGAAGAAACCGGAGAAAAGAAAAGTGAGTTAAAAAAAAAAAATGGCAGCAGCTGCAGATCAGGAGGAAAGAGATCTGTTTTTGGAGGAGAAGAGGGATAATTAAATCTAAGGCTGCTGGTAGTGAAGAGAAAAGAGTACAACGACAAAAAACAGTTGAAGGAGGAGGAAGAAAGATTGCAGGCATTGCTGAAGGAACAGCGAGGTAAGGAAGCCGCAATGGATGGGAAAATTAACCTCCTCACTGACACTCTTCTTCATACAACAGAAGAACTTGCTGCTTTACAGAAATCTGTCAATAAAATCGAAATGCATCAGGGAGAATTCATGGGAACTTGGAACGACTTCCTGGATGCATCCTCTCATCACATAGATCAGCGGATAATTGGGTACGTGGAACAGTTAGACGATTCCATCGTAGAGAAACTGACTGACCCTGCCATAATAAGGAAGTTGAAGATTGGTGGGGGGGGAGGAGATGATGGTGATGATGGAGACAAAAAAAGGGAAAGGTACAATGAAGGAGGGTAAAGTAGAAGGAGGCGAACAGCGACAGAAGATGAAGGTGAAGCTGCCATGGACCTATACTGGGAAGAAGGAAGAGAGTATCTTCCATTTGGAGGAGGATATGGATATGTATATCTATGTCCAAATGATTCCGTACTGGGATAGAGTACTAATGGCCAGTTCTGGTCTTGACACGCAGCCAACTTTGCCATATCTTTAGTCAAAGAAGCTGGTTGCACATCTATGGTGCAGTATTAGCAAAGGACCAGAATAGAGGACTTCTTCAAGGCACTCAAAGACACTTTCGAAGATAAGAACCTGGCCCGTCGTACAGAAGCCCTGATCCTTAATATTAGTGATAGGAAACGGAAGAGTGCATTAGCACTCAAAGCAACCATGGATGAATTGTTACAGTGTCCCGAACATGGACTTACCCCCACGCAGGTTCTGAATAATTTTGCCAGAGCCCTCGCAGAGCCATTAAAGACCCAGTTATATCTCCCCACAAAGGAAGAGGAGATGACTTACGAAAAAATCAGAAAGATCGCAGTAGATCATGCTGGATTTCTATAGGAAGCTAACTATTGCCATTACTGGAAAGATCTCCCGCCTGGCAAGAAATGGAAAGACAACTATTTCAGGTAATATAGTGGGTAAGGACAATCTGCTAGTCATGTTCGAGGAAGGAGGTCTAGAGTCTTTGTCCTACGACCAGATAGATTATGGTCTGGACGGGGACGGCAACGGTCACACAGCCCAGGGGGAAGCCCGCGAGGGAGATCGACCGGGAGGACGGGGCCGTGGTAGAGGTAGTGGAGGTCGCGGTCGTGGTGGAGGAAGAGGACCCGCTGCCCAGAGGGGTGGTGGCGAAGGTAGCTATCATGTGGGAGGTAGGGGTAAAGGTCCCTCGTAAGGCGGCAGAGGCCCTTTTTACAAAGGGGATAGACGTAGAGGATTCAATAACTGGCGGCCATACCCACCCCATCCAGGAATTGCTGCAAGCAAGCCCTGGGAACATATGGGGATAGATGAGAAGACTTGGGACGCGGGCAAAGAAGCAGGGCAATGCTTCAAGTGTGGTGACCCCGACCACATCGTTACCTTTTGTCCCGAGTATAGGTACCCAAAAGGGAACGGCCTGTAGAGGTGGCAGCTGCCTCTACAGGGACTCTGAATGCAAGAAGACTGATATTTTCCCATACAAAGGTCCCCATGGCAAAGACTGAGACCGATGGAGTAGGCCCCCACCTAGTTAGATGTTCGAAGGTTGCTTGTGCTAGGACCTCTCTAGGTGGTTCCCTCACAAGCAGTGGGGATGAACTGATCACTCGTCGCCATGCTTGGGCCGAGATGAAGAAAAGGAAAGGACATGTAGCGGTACCCTTCCGGCCCGGCAGTGAGGCCGGACCTGTTTCAGGCCGTCGGATTGACCCCGGTCCGGTACCGGGTTACTCCAAGCCTGGACCAAGGCCGGTATATCTTTCCGGCCTAGGCCCAGGCCGGGTTGGTCACTCATTCGGTTGTTCTTTCTTCCATTGAGTGGACTGGACCTTCACCAGCTGCTGCGTCTCGTGTGTGTCCATCTCCTCCTTCTATCTCTCTCTCTCTCACCATCTCCGCACGTGCCCTCTGCACGTGCGTCACATTGGTATCGGAGCAGGTTCTCGAACCTCTGCTCCCTCCCTCCCTCCCTCCTGCCCGCCATCACGGATACCTATAGCCAAGTCCGTTCGCGCCTGGTCCATCAACGCGACCAGATATGCTCGTCACCCAAGCTGGCATTTTTTTATCGACACCGGAGCTACTTGAGTTGCTGCTGTTTTCCTACAGGCTGCCCGGTGAAGCATCTGGATCGCGGCCACCTCGGCGACCTGCAGCTGGCGGTGCTATGAGAAGTCCATTGAACTATACCATTGGAGGAACTTCAAGGAGAAGTCGTAACAAGGCTTCTGTAGGTGAACCTGCGGAAGGATCATTGACACGTGGACGGGCGAGCTCCCGCC